TTGAAGAAGAGTCAGAAGAAAAAAAAAAGGTCTGAAGGTAGGTCAGGCAAAACGTTCAGACCGGAACATGCAGGCTTAGGTGTTGAGAGGCAGAACAGGTAAGGATCAGGTAATCAGAATAACAATCGGGTACACTAAAAACAATCTCTCCACTGGCATGAGAATAATCTGGCCCTGATGACTGGATGCAAGCACATTAAAAAGAGGCAGGAGCAGGTGGATATGTGAGCAGTGATTAGGAACCAGGCAGAGTTAGATAGGTGAACGGAATAAATAATTAAGCCAGTCATCAGTGCCAAGATCATGATAGTTGCTGCTTTTTTAACTCTCTTGTTACAGTAATACTGCATTTTGATTGAAATGCATAAAGTATTCCTATAGAAGGCTTAAATACATTTAAAAGACCTGATTAAGTTAAGTCGTCCATATGTGATCAAACTGGTGTTGAACAATGCAGAAAACCAAATATTAAGAACAAGAAAACTTAAATGACAGATTGTTTTGGGTTTTCTCCTCTTTGTGGGAGTTTCTCAACCCACATTTCCTTTTGGTTTTAAACTGCAAATAGAACCTTCAGCAGTATCAGATCATCAGAGTTCATTTTAGGGCCTTAGATCAGCTTGATTTTTGCAAAATGATGCAAATGCACCACTTTTACTTTATTGTTTGAAGTTATTTAATGATGCATTCAGCCATGCTTCATCTCTTTATGAACCTAAGTTCATTTTCTTCCTGTATATGAAGAAAAAAATGTAATCTAACAGTCTAATCTACAAAATTACAGTATAGTAAAAACCCTAAGGCAAACTAAGTGAAACAAGTAAAATTTTAGATTTGCTTTAATATTAGCTGTTAATCTGTTATAGTAGATTTTTTTCTTTAGCTTTAAAAAAGTCTTTGTTTTCCGTTTTTTTTTTGTTTTTTTTTTTCCATTTTGTTTTTTACTTTCCTCAAAAAAATTTTGAGCAGAAACATTTATGTATAAAATAATGTTTTTGTCAGGTACGGAGGTGCCGACCCTGGAGATAGAACAATGGTGAGAGATGATGACCTGTGGATCAGTTGTGATATAATTTACTGGTAAAGTTGACATTGTTTGTCCTTTAACTCACTTCTGTTCTCGATCTGTAGCTGGATGCTTTGTGTCCTGCTGCTGAGGAGCTCATGAAGCTGAGCACAGCACCACCTGCTGGACAGATGGCTATCCTACATGCTGCTGTACAGGTAGAATAATGCAGTTTGACATTATCTTCTCACCTTTACTATCTATTTACATAAATGTGCCACTTTTTGACTAATGGAAACAAGAGGTAAATGTATTTCCTGGATTCCTTTTAACTGGATAAAAAAATATGAAGCTTTCAGTGGAAAAAACAAGGAAGTTAAAATGTTGTCTGACTCCACAGAAAGCAGCTGCGGGTGCGGAGGCAACCCGCGACCTCACGGCCAGGGCCGGGCGGGCCAGCTACATTGCTGCAGAACGAGTCACGCTGGCCGACCCCGGCGCCGTGGCTGTAGCCGCCATACTGAAAGCCGTAGAAGAGACACTGAAGGAAGAGAAGTGAGGAAAAAAACCCTGGATATCACTTGATTTATTGGAACATTTTAATAAAATAAAAACTCTGAAAATGAATGAAAAATGTTTTTTCTATAATTACCTATTTGTTCTAGTATTTGTTGACATAAAGTAGAAGATAAACCCTGTAAACTATATCCTTAAATTTAGAAAATATCTTAGAGGTGCCTTACAATACAATAACACAATTGTGTTTTACAGCTTTATTTTTGTTTTTCTTTGCATAAAAAAAAATATTTTGCATTCTGGTTTTCCAAAATTTCAAAATGTATCAAAATAGAAAATAATATATATTTTCTTTTAACAGTAAGCTTTGAAAATGATCAGCTGGTGATAAATGTTGCCCTTAACTAAAGACACAAATATAAAGAATAAACCAGTATACTGTCTATTTTCATAGATTTTATTTGATATTTTATATATTCCAAACCATTTTGCTGCTGTTATGTTGTTGGTTCTACTTTTTAGCGATTTTATTGGTACAAAGTATGAGACTAACCATGAGATTATAGAGTAGATTCTCCTTTTTGGAAATGAAAGACGGAGAAAATGTTTAAGATTAGCTTTCGATTTGATTTGAAAATCTTTTGTAGGGTGAACGAGGACCCATCAATGTTTTCGTTCAAATTTTCACCAGCTGCATGTTTTTTATTGTTAAGGTTAGAATTTAGAACCTGACGTCTCTGTGAGAAAATGAACTGTCATCTTAACAATTACCTGTTTCATTTGATAAGATAAAATTAATTCATTCATTTTCATTTGATAAAATCTTGATTTCTTTTTTTTTCTGTTTATAAATTTTTTGTTCCAACTTAAAAATAAGCAAATAGTTTGATTTCATTTATGCACCAAGCTCACATGCAACACATGTTTGTTCGAAACCCTAAAACCTGTAGGTGTGCAGGGCGACCTTTGAGCTCTGAATTATGAAATAACCTTTTTTTTTTTATATAATCTGACGTTTTCCTGATTTTTTTTCTTTCCATTTAAAATTCTAGTATCTTTTTTGCAGTTATTTTCAGAAATTACCTACTATCAATGTGTTTTTCTTTTATCCTTGTTAAAATTGAACCAACGGTAAACTACGCAGTAGTTTTGATAGTTTTCTATTATGTAACAAACTTTACTGGAAAAAAACGACAGCAAAACTTCACTGGAAATAATGTTGGGTTTCATTTTGACAGTGAGAGCTAAAAAAAAGTTTTCATCTCAATTAAAGCTGTTGTAAGATTTTCTCTGTAACCACGTTTTAAATATAATTCACAGATCAGCGCCACGGGTCATTAATCGTCATTATGATTTCAAATCAGGTTAATCTGAATTATTTACACTCCATCTTAACTGATTATTCATCTCTTTTCTCATTACTGTGATGTTGTGGAATGCACTAATAAAAGATGATACTATAAGGAGGTAATTTTGTGTATTTTGTTTTACAATAGTAAAATAAGCCTCTGTAAAGCTTCTTGGAAGAGTATTTGTAGCCCTGGATCTTTATCATGTTCGATCTGAATTTAACAAGGTGAAGGATCATCTTAAAGTAATGCACCATGAAGTAGAAGGAACAGGATGTTAGGAACCGTTTGGGGTGTACTTGAGTTCAGCCGCCCATAGCCAGCACTTTATAAAACCACGTTTTGCTGCAATTAAAGCTGCAGTCTTGGGGATCTGTCTACCAGTGTTGCACATTTAGAGACGAAAATGTCTGCCTGTTTTTTCTTTGCTTAATTTCCTTGAACTCAGTTTAGAGAGAAAGGGTCTGTTTGTTTCTTGTTTCTCAAGCAGCTCTATGTCTGTCTGCTCTATGTCCTTGATGCGTATGCTTTAATGTAGTGTCACGTCTTAAGTTTTATGTTAAAGGTTGGTGAACGTCCACCTCAGTCCCAAAGTCTTCTACATCCTGTTAAAGCTTTTTCTCCAGGATTCTCCTTTGTATATACTGCAGCTCCATTTTGGCTACCATAAAAGCTGGTTACTTTCAGGGCTGAATGAAGGCAGGCCCAAAGCATGACACTGTCTCCACTGTGTTGAACACTTTGGGAGGATAGTTCCATATAGATAAAGGATCTTTTTCTCATTTCAAATGGCATTTAGACATCTGTTGAAAACTTCTTAGGGTCTCAGTTTTTGTTATTCTATTCAAGTGGTTTAATCTATTGTTTATAAATTAATTTAAAAAAATTAAACCCATGCGCCGCTTTGTCTAACTATTATAGAAGCTGGATAACTAAAATGCCAAGATGATTAAAATACGGACAGAGGGCTTAAATCTATCAGCTATAGACAAAACGGCTCATAGTATGAAATTAATCATGATCTTTTCTAATAAAAAACAGACAGTAGATACCAGCCCTCTTTCTCTCCTCCTCCTCCTCTTATGTTTTACATCTTGGTGTTTCTCTCAACCTCCAGCCGTGCACCGACTTCCTGACACACAAAACGCTGCTCCCCACACTGTGAACACACCCACACATGCATACCACCAGCCTGCTGCATGACAGACAAAAGATTTCTGCTTTTGAAACTGCTTGTTGCACACAGACCACGACAAAGGTGAGTTTCTCCTTGTTCTACTGTGCATTGTGGATGTTGTCGAGCTGAGAAGCCTCCATAGCCAAGCATCGCTGCTGGAATTTGAAGGTTTTAGGGGATTTTATCATAATTTTGTACCATAATCTTAATTCATATTGATTTTATTGAACATATTTTATAGAAACTGAAATATCCAAATGGTTTCATCTTTCAAAATATTTTTTCTCTTTTAAAAAAATCCCAAATTCTGCATTATATGTAAATGAAATGAAGCTGACATCTGAGCAAAAGCAGTTTAACATCCTGCTGCTGCTCTCAGTTTATTGACTGGCAAACACCAAAACAACACTTCCAATAACTACAACGATATTTATTCAAAAAAGAAAACGTAAAAAATTAGCATTTTCTTTTTTATACTCTACAATAACCACTTGATTGAGTTATTTAAAACTCTTGGACCTAAGGGAGGATGATGTTTGTGTTACCTAGCAATCCGCAGTGTGTGATTTTAAAGGAAGGCCGGAAAACTGATTCATGCACTAAAAAAATCAGCAACGCAGAAGTTTGTGATTTTAAATAACTACCAACGGTGAGTCCAATAAATTGTTTTAAAATTTTAAATCCATGATAATTAACTGTTTTGAAACTCAGAGCTTCCACCTGGATAAAAGGAATAAATTTACATGTTATAATGTGAAAACGTCTTATTTCTAAGGTGTCTTTTTGACATCTGCATCATAAATTACCACATTCATACAGAATAAAAATGTTTGCTTTTACTTGATATATTGGTAAAATGCATAAATAATATTTTCAGACAATAAAGCTTTTATGTCGCAGCTTTTTATAGCTCTAGTTTTCTTAAACTGAGTGGGCGGCAGCCTGATCGTTTCAAATTAAATAGAAAATGTGATTTTAACAGTAAATAGTCCAACACAAATGAGGGTCCTGAATGCAACTCACCAGAGCCATTTCTGGGACCTTAAAACAAAAAGACGTTTGAATAGGGCCAAATTAGAGAGCAAATGCTGTATCAGAAAGGTTCAAGGACTCCAACAAACCTTCCTCAGAGTGTAACAAAGTGAAGGCCAGAAACCTGAGTCAGTATTGTCAGACTTTTTATGACGCAGAGTAGATGATTGGGTTTTTTAATGCGTTACACCCCCTGCAAAAAAAATCCTTATACAACTTTTTATTATTTTTACTTATCTTTTGTGTTACTATCCTAAATATCTTTATATTAGAAGAGGAGTTTAAGTTACACAACAAAAACTGAAAGGATATGGAGAAAACTAAAAATGGTTGACATTGACATCACATTTTTTTTAGAAATGAGATCTAAGGAGTGTGTCATCCATGTTTATTTATTCAAATTATTTTCAGACAGATTATATGGAGAACATCTGTAAAAAGCAGTTTTCGCATATATATTGTATAATGGTCTGGACTTTAGATCATTCTAACACGTGACTGTTAGATCTAAGCGATCGCTGAGTTCAGGCGGTGTTCAGACCGTGTGGGGATGATGCTTTTCATGTGAAGCATGGGGGTAATTTTCCTTCTCACATTTGCATATGGGTCAGCAAGTTCAGTTTTTGTCTTCTTAGGCCAAAGCCTATGGGGTCTCCAATATTTCATATGAAAAACAAAACACCTTATGACTTTCTTTCAACAATGGCTTATGCTCATATCTTCCTAATATTGCTTAAACTTCAAATATCTGATTCAGATTCAGCCCAGCAGCTGATCCAGGGTGACCATGACCTCTGACCCTGAATAAATCTTCCCTTCCCCTGGATTTGGTTTGATTGGTTGATTGATTTACTTTATTGATTTTACAGTGGAGAAATGTACTTGTTACATCAGTTCAAATACTTAAAGTAGAAGAAGGTGCAAAAGGAAGAAAAAGGTGCATAGAATATATACAGTATATACAGTCCGTCCACATATGACAGCTTTTTTATAGGATTATTATACAGGGTTATTGCACAGGGTGTTTACATGGGTATTTATATATATAGGCATTTATATATATATATATAGTTAATGCACTGGGTGTTAATTATAGAGAAGCAGGTTATTGCATGGGGTATCAAATAGTAATTGCATATTATACATTCCTGTTCCGTGAGTCTGGTTGCAGCAAAGATGAATGACCTGCAGTAGCGTTCCTTTTTACAAACATCGTGTAAAATTCTTTGACTAAAGGAGCAGCTCAGCTCCTCTACAGTCTAGTGCATAGGGTGGAAGGCTTTGTCCATGATGGATTTAAGCTTGGGATACAACTGATTGCTGTGTTTTCTGGTTTTTGCAGTTGTATTATAGTCTCCTTACTGACGCACTTACGTAAGATATTTTAATGGTTTATAACCTAACACTGCTTCAAACTTCTTCCCTGGTCTGTCTGCTGTGTTTCCTGATTTTCATGATCTTGTTTCTTCCGTTCTCCTCGTATAA